ATCTCGCCGACGATCCGGGGGACGAGGAAATCCGACGATTCCGCGAATCCCTTGAATCCAGAGACGAGATTCCCAAGTTTTCCTTCGACTCCGAGCTCGATTTTTCGGAATGTGCCCGCGGATCGGAGTTTTTCACCTTAGAATCTCTAATTAGAGGTCCTAAATGAGCTTTGAGTTGATATAAGGAGAGACTATTTCTGTGCACTTCAGGTCCTTTTTCTTAGACTTTGATGGTGGCAGATATTTCTATTTCTTCTACTCGAGGACTCTAAGTAGAACTCATTTCGTGTTAAATTGAACAAACGGGGCAGAAAGTGGATAAGTAAGGGGTGAAAGGGGTCCAAAAATGGTCCATCTTGGGCTGCACCTGTTCAAAATAGGACTACAATTTCGACTCGGGCTAAATATCAATAGCAATTTAATTGGAGATTGAAAGGATACCGACTGTCATTCCCGGGAATCATGAGATAAAGATATTTCTCGGTGATACTCAATTCTATACCCTAATGAGATTCGAATCCTTCTTTCTGGATTGTATGCACACTTGGGTAAATATGGCCTATAGGGCTAGCTGGAGGGAGATGCAGGGGAAAGTCAACTCCGCGATTTCTGGAATCGCCGAGTGAAAATATTTGTCTTGGACTCCGGTACTGGATGGTTCCCGATGTCTCCGGAGTTTCGGGAAACTGGCCCAATTTAGTTGAGTATTTCGCTGAGGGATCCGTGAGATCACCCACCTGGTGATACACTTGGTGATCCGAATGGAGCCAACACGCTTCGAAAATATTTCTCAATTAATTCGAAATTGGATATCTCTTATCTGCATCCCAGTTTTTATGGACTCAAAATCCCTCTTTTCGAATGACACCCCTTTTCACCCTTCAAGAGTCGAGAAGTAATACATTTTATTCATCCCATTTGTAAGGAGATTCCAAACAAGATGCACCGAATTGCATTTTCCTCGAGAAAATGGCCAAATATGGCAAAGAAATCGGTGAAAAAGGATTTCAAAGGTGAGAACTGTGTTGGGAAACACTTTCATTCCGATGCAAAGTCGCTCGTGGTAATGGAGCTCGTTCTCCTCTGCAACAGAGATTGGTTTAACCGCTGCATTCGTCGAAGCTGTGAATGCGTTTACGTTACCGGAATGTCAGGCAGTTTTAGACTGCCCCCAGGCAGCTTTCCAGGCTCCTGTAGCATAACTTCTAGCAATAGACCTCGTTGATTTACTCGAGTTTGCTTTGCCACCTAGCGTACAACCTCTGTCGAAATTAGACCCGAAGATAATACATCGAGAGTGGCTGGAGAACCATATCCACGGCGTAAAGCCAAACGAGAGATGTGGTCTGTTAAATATAGATTTTTAAAAGGAACTAAACGGCCAGAAACGAGGAAAGGAAATAACTTTCCGGGAGAAAGTGGACCGGCTTAAACTAATTCAGCGAAAAGTCGGGTAGATCCCAGGTACTCGTATTTTGCACAAGTACCTACGTTCTAAGGCAGAGGACGAGAGAGTTGCCAGAGATTGGGAACATTGTTCTGCATGCCCTGCGAAAGGCCCTAATCCGACCTAATCAACGGGGTCCAACTTATGGAATCCAACTTAGAGGATCCAACTGAAGGAATCGAGGCTCACGCAGGAAAGTTCGGATTCACAGAGCCGAGACGGTGATTCGCGTTCAGCTCGGCTTAAAGAACTCTTGACTTTATCTCAGTAATGAAAAGGTCATTTTACCGTTTACGAGGAGTCTTCCCAATTCCATCCCAGGAGCCGTTCCGACTTTGCTCCTCCGAGTCGAGATCCTCCGGGATAAGAATTCCCGAATTTACTTGGAGCCGAGTCCTGGCCCCATTTTTTATAAAATGTCCCAAATTTATTCGAATCGTTTCTAGATTAACGATAACGAAATTTACTGGATTCATTAACCCTAGAAAATGTATATTACCATATATGAAAACCACCTTGGCTATCCTTGAGTTTCTTGGTGAAAAATGGCCGTGTATCTTAAAAAAATGACAAAATTGCTCTTAAACCGCGATCCGAACCAACTTTACGAGCCCGTAGAGCACATCTTCACCGTTACTAATCCAAAATAAATTACGGAATCATAAATATTATATTCGGAACTTGATCTAAACCTGCAAACACACCGTCAAAACCCCTAAAACAAAAAATGACTATGCCGTAGGACAAAAATCGGCCTTATTGACCCTCGTCCTTTCGACGCTTCGCCTTAAGAGTATTACCTCTGATGAGGATTTGAAAACCCATTTAGCAATCTAGACCCGCTCTCTTCGGGTATTCTCTAGCATAGGTTTCGACATTTCTTCCGCAACGAAGGCTCAAGGTGTTCCGGACCAGTACCCGGTGATGGGCATTTCCTAATCGATTTAGCAACCGGGATCCGGCACGCAGGGCGATGCCTAGCGCACCATGGTGTTCTATGCGTTCCTTTCGCTGGCTGCGTGAACTCCACCATGAACCTCGGATAAGAGGATCAGCATAAAGTGAGCTGTCTTCCCAACGTCGCGATGTCTGCATAAATTCAGCCCCCCGCACCTACGGCCGCGTGTAGGTAAGTATACGCGGCGGGGGCTTGCGGCTGATGTACAACGCGTGGAAGTTATGTACCGAGCCGTGATTAGACCCTGAATATGAATTAGGTGAGAAACTTTATTCCCAGGAGACCTGCCGCCGCCGGGGCGGCTATTCGGGACCATTGCCCGAGGAAATCGAGGAAAAAGAGCGAAACGTTGCCATGCAAATGCGCTCGCCCGACCAACTTTCGGGACGTCCCGAAAGTGATCGCGTTACAGCCTGGAAGTTACACCCTCGCAAATCCTCGTAAACCGGGGAAACGAAATGCCGCTAAAGAATGGATTTAAAGAATTTTTTTTTAAACGAACTCTTCGAGCGATGTTGCGCCAAGCACCCTAAAGGAAACCGAGACGTTGGAGGCGCTCAGATATGGAGCAAAAAGTAACCGAAAGATGGAGCCAGAATGTGAATACGAAAAATTGGAGACCCGTTTTATGCGATTTTTATCACGAGACATTTTATTTCCCATCATCCCGCTGCCCTCCAGATAGTGATCCGGGTCCAGTTTCCGCGAAAATAGGGAGAAAAGAACGAGATGTCTCCGGACCAATGTCTGCGGCTTTTCCGATGGAATTGCGGAATATCTCGAAAGTATCCCCACATAGTTCGCGGGAATTGGCGCAAATCCCAGATACGGTTTACAGCTTGCTAGACAACGGGAATAATAAGAGAAATAAACTCCAAGTTCATTTTCAGATATCTACAGCGACAGTCCTGGTCTGGCAAGAACGTTAGCCTTCGCCATAACATGGATTCTTGATAGAAAACCTTGTATCCCTTTTTTCCAGGAATAATCATTTCCTCCATTCCACAAGTGCTCAAGCACGTGTGTACTTCCCTTCTGATTTAAAGCGGGACTTTGAAAAGTTCCTAGCACCGGCTATAAAATAGTCAGCGGGATTCAGAAAAATTCAGAGTTCCCTGTAAGGTAGGCATCGACGTTTCCCAGCATTTGGACGTCGATTATCATCAGATCCTCGGTCGTAAATTAGGCAAGGAAATTCGAAATCAAGGCACTGTGCGTTCCACTTCGTTTCTCCGGTTCAGCGAAATGCAATATCCACGGGTAATAACCGTGCCACTAAAGCGGAAGATAATGCCCCTTGCATTAGGCCGGCTTTTTTACACGGCGGGATGGAATTAGGAGGAGAGCCGCTCGTAAACGGTAAAACGGCCATTTGATTAGGGCGATAAAGCCGAGTTTCTTAAACCAATGAACATCGGCTGTCGAGCTGGCTGCGAATCGCTACTCTCGCTACACGACTCCGAACTCTCCCGCTGCGAGAGCTCCCATTGCCTGCGTTCGTAGATTAGCTAGCTTGTCGGTTATTTGTAGCCGGTGTCTGCTGGCTACTGTCCTCGCCGGTAAGAACTACGCCCCGTTGTACACGTACTTGCAAACGAGTGCGCACACCCACCCGAGCTCGGCGGAACACGCCCGGACAGAGCACGAAACTTCGGCCCGACAAGCGCCCCGTTTTCCGCGGAATCCAATTTTCTTTTTGCATTCCGCCGCCGTCGTAAACGCGGCTATGTAAACGAAGCCCCTCCAACGGGAGTGCCCTAATTTTCGCGGCCGTATCTGAAATTAAATCGCGGCGATAAGTCCTCGAATTCCATATTCCGTGCACATTCATTCGCGACGCGGAATACGCTTCCCTCGAACGCGGACATTGACGCCGGAAAAGCTCGCATTTTCGGGACCTGAGAGAAAATGTCCTCTCAATCCCATCGATTGTCTAAAGGCCGACATTACTTTATTTGCCAGAATTTTTACGGAAATTCTAATTGTCGATTTGGGTGCCGTTGGACTTCTCGGGACTTGGGTCTCGAAATTTTCATCATATTTAGAAGCTTTAATTGTGGCATGGGGTTACAGGTAATCTTAAGAAAGGGAACCTCGGTGGAATTGAGGGTTTACTTTAAATCTTGAAAGTGGGGGATAGTTCCATTTCTTTCACGTGTAGGCCTAAAGTAGGATTTAATTCGGGTCGAATAGATTATTAAAAGGCAGGACCAAAAGAGTTCTTATTTAGGTTACGCGGATTCGAAGGAGGGCCGAAATTTCAATTTGGAAAGTGCGGGCAATTTCTGCTTAAAATCTACGCGGGGTAAAAAATTCTTTCGCACAAGTTCCTCGGAGTCTCTTCCGAGAGTAACTTTCGTAGGAAAGGTGTTTTCCAGTTACGCACCGCGGAGCAGAAAATTTCCTTTATTCGGGACTGTGGGGAATACGGCTGCCATCTTTTCCCCAGAGGCGGACACGGCGCCCTGAATTTGGGGACGGGATATTCCACCGATCCTGTGAAAAAAAAAAAAGAAAACAATTTCTGTAAATAAAATCAGAGAGTCCACTGTTTGAAGGTTAAACCTAACACCATTGTCTGTGTCGATGTTGCAGGTATATTCACGGTAATGTGCTACAACGTGCTGTGCGACAAGTACGCGACGCGGCAGATGTACGGATATTGCCCGAGCTGGGCTCTCGACTGGGAGTACCGGAAAAAGGGGATCCTGGGTGAAATCCGACATTATGCCGCCGACATAATCAGCCTCCAAGAGGTCGAGACGGACCAATTCTACAATTTCTTCCTGCCGGAGCTGAAGCACGACGGCTACGACGGCATTTTCTCGCCCAAGTCGCGCGCCAAGACGATGGCCGAGAACGACCGCAAATACGTGGATGGATGCGCCATTTTCTACAGGACAGCAAAGTAAGTGATACCTTGACTAGAAACAACCTCTTGCTCCGATTAAACCCCGCATTTACCTGCACCCCTCGGCAGGATGCACGTCCCTCCAAATAGCGCAGTTATGTAAATGCATTCAGGTCATGCCCACGAACGATTGACCACAGATGATATTTCTTCGGTAACGCATGGTAATTAAATATCGCGCTTGAGGCTAATTTTTCAAACTCTGGGGTTGTCGACCACTTGTCGGGAATATCCTCTAAATTATTAGAGGGCCAATCATCGCGTGACTTATTTATTTTTACTCGAGAATTCACGTCTTTTTTTGACGAAGGCGTTATGGGGATGTCGCGCGTCTCCGGTAAATCTCATTAGACGTCAGTAGCGTTGCTTTTCGACATCTTTTTGGAATAAGCGATTCTATAGGTACAAGAGCGATGCGACGTCCCCCGCGATCAAAGCGATCGGGTATTCGTCGCAGTCGGCCGTCAATATTCGCACCACGGGCAATATCCTCAAGGTAATAACGCATCACGTAAGGTGCCAGGACTCTCGGCACCCTAGAGCTCGAGAATGGCTATAAGTAGAAAATCAACTTTGCTCTATGGGACTCGATCTCGTAGGATGTCACTCGACGTCCCGGGGCTCCTTCGGGGTATGCGAGCTTATAGGAAATTCTTCAATCTCGTAGATGGCGACTCGGGAAGAGGACACACCGTTTAAAGTGGAGCAGCTTTAGAATATCCTGCTTACGGAGTCTCCCCCTTTCCCACCCTTTCACCGAACGTCCCAAAACCCGGCGACGGGAAACCTCCCGGAGATATTCCAAGTTACTCTGGAGAATCTCGAAATCTCTGATCGCTCTTAATTTAAAAAAAAAAGAAAAAATGCCTACCCGCCTCCAGAAAATTACTGATCTCGGGGACCGGTAACAATTGACGTGCACTTTCTTGGGGGAAAAAAAGTCTCGAGACGCGAGCTCGATAAATTACTTCAAAATTGATTAGGCTTATTCCCTTCGAGCGCCTCGATATTTCAAAGTCTAACTCCCACGATTCCTCGAGGCTCCGATCCACGGGCACGCGCTAAGCGCTCCGAGCGTATGTACGCCGGTGAAGATTGACTGCCTCCTGATAAAAAAGAAAAAATAAAAACATGAAAAGGGGAAGAAGGAAAAGCGATTCCCACATCTCGGCCCTTTTAGCGCGATCCCTCTCGCTCAAGAGTCCCGGCAGATTGGAGGCATTTTATTAAACGGTCCCGCCATGGCACATTGACAAATGGCCGGACGGGTTGAGTATCGATCATTGGGGGATTTAAGCCGCGGCGTATTTATGAAAATTGCTCGGCACATTCCGCGTGGTAACGGTCTCTTTACTTCGGATCCACGCTGGATCCATACCGGGGATCCGTAATGGCGGAGTTGCGCGCAAGAAGTGCACGAGACGTGCGCAAGAAGTGCAATAAGTGTACCGCGCCGCCGTGGTAGCGGCCAGGCATTGTGCGCGCTTTATCGTATCGGCCGGCGCGTTTATTTTCAATATCGCAATGTAATTTAATTCCAGTTTACGCTTAGCGAGCCGCCCGAGGGGCTATCCGGCGTCAAAAGGCGATTACCGTGATGTATGTACCGAGGGCGTGCGTGCACTCTCGTTTGGTCGGCGTTATGCGTTCACCCGCGCATCGCGAGTGCATAACGGAGCCTAACTTGCACCGCTCAACGTCGATCGGGAATTCTTCGCCGTTGGCCCATTATTTTCCGCATAGCAAATGTCTTTCTCCCCAATTAGTCCCGGAGTTAAATGGACTTGCCCTCCGAAGTCATCGGCTCGGATTGCGCTATCGAAGGATACCGATTGAATGCACTCGATGGGCTGACACGCGTGTCGAGTGCACGGGACTAGACTTAAATCGACGTCGCTTCTAACGAGAAGTTAATAATAGAATCGAGAGTAATGGAACTACGTCCGAGTAGCAACGACCTGCACCGACTATGAGCGAAATCGTCGCATTCTATGGAAAAAACATTCTTGGGTTGAATGGATCTTAACTGGCTGCTATCTTGTAAAGATCGAATTAATTTAAGGCAAATTACAAATAGTACTCAATTTTTTTAAGCCCAGCATTATCAAACCAATTAATTTCGCTTCGAAAGACAATTTTTCGCTGAGGGTAGGAACGATCGATTTGTGTGTTTTTTTTTTTCTTATCAGACATTGTTAATCATTTCGTTGGACGAGACTTAGTGGATTGAGTCTTGGCGTTCACTTCTTATCAGGGATTAATAAATCGCTTTGAGGGGTCGAATTAATAGCTACAGTGGATACGTATGAGCGGAGTGAAAATGTCTCAAGGGTTATCAGACTTCCATTGGAGATATCACTATGATGCCCACGTATATCGAGCGGACTCGTTTCGGGGTCGCTTATCACGCGTGTATAACGGTCCCTGCACGCGCTTATCGTTGCACGAGTCGACGTCCATCTAAATTTCTTCGCCGTTACTCCGTTACGGAACGACCTCTTCGCCTCTTCGTCTCAGATGAAATAAGACTGACATCCGAGCCGAGACGAGGTACATTTTGGATTCATCATCTCGGGACCACCGAGAATGATGGTATCGTTTCAATGGGCACTGATGATGTAGACGAGCCGATAGATGCGCGCCTGCATCGGCTCTGATGCATAGGACATTGTTGCGAAAGCGAAGGGGCCGCTTCGGATTGACGTTAAATTGTGATGGGAGTACAATTGCAGGCAATGGCAGTGCTCTGTACCAGAAATAAGATGGAATAATGCATCCGTTCCCCCTCTCCCCCGGAGCGGAGTAGGAAACCGCATATTAATTACAGGATGCAGTTAAGTCCAGAAAACGAGGAATTGGGTAAACCAATTACAGTCCCCACTCTTCCAAGCACCGATCCACATAAATCGGAGTGCCGGAACCATAGTTCGATTTTAAAATTCGATCAAAATGTGATTTAATCTCGCCGGTAATTAATAGCACGTGGACGTTACACTCCTGACACTTAGTATTCACATGAACATGATTCTCTCGAGGAAGATAAACCGACGCGATCTCTCGTTTTCTCCGCCCTCTGAAGTGCTCCTCGAGGGACGATTTCAGATTTCCCATCCCTTACGATGACGGGCATCGAATGATTTAATTGCAGAACTCGTTCGGAGTCTCGCTTCTAGTAGGCATTAAACGGCAACCGGCCGATAATGGAACGTGGAAATTACATCTGGATGATGTGCAATTATGAAATGAAATAATAACCCGGGATAATGACGCAGGACGAGGGGGACGATGAAACAATTAATCATGGTTAGCGGCGAGGGAGATCTATATAGATAGGTGCAGATGCGCTTGTTCTTGAGCTCGCGTCGCGATTGAGTTACCAACGCGTTCTTAACGCGCTAATCGGTTCGGACCCCCTGCAGCGAGTGTCGAGAAAAATCGCATTAGCCTTTCAAATGCGAGGTGGAACGAGCTGGGTTGCCTCCTCGGAGCCGCGGGCCATTTTTTACGGGCCTTTGCGGGGAGCCTCGCGAATCGCTCCTTCGGGATATTGCGCCGGCTCTGGACCCGCGATCAAGGATTGACGAGCAATTGGCAGTTCACCCGGGGCGAGCTGTCATCTCTCTGGAGTCGGGTGTCGGGTCGCCCCGAGGTGCAATTTCCGCCATCGCCGAGCACCTTATACTTCGCTGCAACCTTCGCTCCTCGACCTCTTCGAGCCGACTTCTACTGACAAACCATTGGAGGATACTTATGGGAGGCGTTTCAAAAATCGAGACAAGGTGATCAAGAGACCGTAATCACTCTTTGATTATACTCCTGACCCGACCAGAGTTGAAACATTAACCGTACTCCGAACCCGCGAAACCTATGGAAGTCCTATTTTAAGTCATATGTCGAGAGAAAAAGAAATATTAAACGTTACCGTCATTCCTTCTTTCGTACTCGTGTATTGCTCCCTTTTACGGGCTGGCGCCTATCTTACAACTATTTGTCTTCAGGGTATTTTCGCTCTTTTACTTAATATGAATTGAGACCTTCTTTAGGCCTAAAAACGGAAGAAATGGAAACGTTTACCACTCTTAAGGCTTAAAGTAGGACCTTGATTGTTTATAAATTACCCTTCTGCATGTTATCTCAATTTTTTGAGGTCTACCATTAGAGGTTTCGATTCCAGGTTTGGCTTCCGGGACACCGTTCACTGCACTCTTTTTGTCCCCGGGCAATGAGCTGTCATATTCTGATGACTGATAATAAATTCCGCTCTGTCCCAGTTTCGTCCTTTCGAGATCCGCGCACTCTCTAAGGAGTGTATTACTTTCATTGAGCGCGACCATGCATCCGCGTCGGAGATTTACCATCCGGGGATCTCCTTGCATTCCGCATCCGAAGATGCAAATGACAAAGGCGGCCTCGTGAATGGGATTATTAAGCAGCGAGATTAATCGCCCACAGGGGCCGAGCTTCGAATCAGGGGTCATCGAGATGGTTACTTCGTCTTCCATTCAGACGGACCCGCTCCGTCTCGAAGTGGCGGAGGAATCGACGTCGAGGGAAGTGCCTTTGCACTTCGGACAAAATCCTCGTCCGAGCTTTTTAACGCGCCACTCAATTGCCCGCGTCTCAAAGGCCCGATCCGTTAGCTCAAGGATCCGTTTCGTCAATCAATTCCCACCGGTTTAAAATGCGACTTACGAGCAACGGTACGTTTGACGCCGCTTTCTGAGTAAATTGATTGATCCATGGGTATAACCTTCGCTGCCCAGACCTTTTTTATTCCCCCCAAGGCTGTGGAATCTTCGCTTCGTCGCTCCTCTCGGTTCGGATCCGGTCGTGAGTACTTAATTTTTTTTTATTCCCGATTAATTCCCACTTCTCAGCGGAACTGTATTTTCGTAACAGGACCAGTCATCATGCTTTTAGGGGTTCTCTGTAAATCTTGGATTCGTCGATCGCATTTTCACGGTGAAGGATGCTTTATTTCTGCCACGGTGACGCGA